CCTGTGCCGACGCCCGTCACCGGACGGACCCGTACTCAGGGGTCGTATTGTGGAGACTGAGGCCTATTTGGGCGCCGAAGACAAGGCGAGCGCCACCTATAATGGCCGTCGGACTGAGCGCTTGGAACCGCTGTACATGAGTGGCGGCACGTGTTTCGTGTACTTCACGTACGGCATGTATTACTGCATGAATCTGTCGGTGGCTGGCGATGGACAGGCGGTGCTGTTGCGTGCGGTGCAGCCGTTGGAGGGCTTGGAGGCTATGCAACGATTGCGGGCGAAGTCGAGGAAAACCAAAACCGACAAACCGTTCGCCGATAAGATGCTGGCGAACGGGCCGTCGAAACTGTGTATGGCTTTCGACATCAATAAGGATAACGTGAATAAGGAAGACATCACTGACAGTACACTGATTTGGTTGGAATCGGGAGATGCCGTTCCCGACGAGGATATCGTGTGCGCCAAACGGGTCGGTATAGACCGGGCGCCTAAGGAGTGGGCGAACAAACTCCTCAGGTTTTACATCAAAGACAACGAATTTATTAGTCAGAAGTAGTGTTGAGATAAAACAAAATTTGTTAATTATATAACTTTTTAATTGAAATAATTGTATGTTTTTTATAATCAAAACCCTATTGTAATCCTAATCACAGTTAATCTACTCAATCAAGTCATTCATTAATACGACCTTTTAATACAGACATTGATTTCCTTTTATTAGTCTTAATCCCAAACTGTTTCCGCCGGAGTTTATAATCCCAACAAAACGGATACTTTGCCGTAGTCTTGAGGTAGTGGTTACCGCCACTGCGGGCCAACACACTCAGGTAGCCCATGACGGCCACTCCTATCCTGTCCGAGCACTTGCCCGACACGTACTCCAGCCATGAGTTGCATTTGAAGGCAACGAACGTACAGTTGGCCGCACTTCTCAACGACGACTCCATGTAATAGAGGGCTGAGTTGTGGTCACATGTGCTGACTATCCTTTTCTGGCACCGGGGCTGTCGGGTGCCGTTGTTGGGGTAGAAGTCTATGTGTCCAATAGGTCCCAGAAAACCTAACTCCCCTTTCAGTATGTTATTTCCGGCACTGGTATGTATGGCGTCCACGAAATAGGCGTCCGATTTGGTGAGATAGGAGCCGGGATAGCCTTCGAATAGGGGTCCGGCGGCGTCCAGTGCTGCACAGGTAGGGAATTGTAGTTTTATTTTAGTTTTTTGTTGAAATACTGACCGGAAATGCGACCAAATTTCCACTTATACTTCATCTGCGAGTACTTCCCGGCGAAGCCGGCTATCTGTGCGCCCAAACTGAACCCAAATAAGTGGACATTGAATGGATTGGTGCGACCATTTCGGCGTAGGCTTTCCACCAAAAGGGTTATCTGTCGACCCACTACTTGTGTATTAGTGGCCGCCTCCGTATACCAGGGCGCCAGAGCACCCCTACTCCAGTCCACGATTATAACTGTGTTTACGTACGTGTAGTATAGGAGCGAGTCTTTGAGGGCCAGTAGTTCCGTCTTATTGGCGTCGTTGGCGAACCCGTGGATCAGTATAGCCAAGGCCTGCTCCTGAGCCACGATTGATAGGCTTTGCGGGTGTTTTACGTTCAACTCAAACGCCTGTCCCGTTGAGTAGCGGCTGAACGCGAAGAATCGGGTATTGATTTTGTCGGGAGGGGCCGGTAGTGTCCCGATGTGTCTCAACGGCCCGTTCTTCGCGAAACAGTCGATGTCTTCGTAGCAAACAGCCGGTACGTCTGCTGCCGATGATAGCGATGTGGGTGTGGGTCCCGTGGATCTGTTGGTGATCCTCACAAATGCCGAGTTTATGGCTTCGAAGAGTTTGGAGTCGTTTAGGAGGCCGTACGACAGGAATGGTATGAATAGTACTAAACACACACTTATTAATAGCATGTTTGCTGTGAAGTCAATAAACTTTTAATGTTTTAGTGTTTTAATAATACAGTAGAATATTCTTCATTGTAAAATGCATTACAATTTATTAGGTTTCTGTATATTGAGTCAAATAACAATTCAATGAAATAATGACATTTACAAGACATTAGTTGATTGACACTGATTAATTATTAGATAATTTTAGATTAAAACAATCACTTAAGTAAACTTTTACTTAATTTTTATCATTTTATTTAATACTGTAACAGCACTTGTAAATACAAATACTTAAACAAGCTAAATGTAGACTTTTAATAGCCTTTATGCATTTGGCTTTTATTAAATTTAATGTTGATTTAAAATTTTTATATTTTCGATTAACGATATGATAGACTCGAGAGAATAAATAAGTTAAATATTTTAGTGATTTTAAAAATTAATTCACTTAACATATGACAGGAACGAAATGTTTTGGTAGAATAAACAACAAGTGTTTTCAAGACAAGAATTTTGTACAAAAACTTAGTGCAAAAGTTTTAGTTCATACAATTCTCTCATTAGCTGTGAATGTCGTAAAAATTAATAAAATATAATTGTAATTAAAGTTATAAATACTTTTTTTTCAGACAATGATAACACATTTACAGACATTCAGTGAATGCCAATCAATATACACCTGAAGAGGACATTAAGACTTATATTCACGAAAAATAGCGAACAAAACACAATCAAAACAATACGAATAAACTCTTCAAATGAGTAACAATTAAAGACTTCAATCTTCGTGACAAACAGTGGTAACAGTTTCGGGGGTTTATAAGTGATTCGTCGACCTCTGGATCTCTTATGCTTTTGTTTCACGTCATCGATGAGACACTCAATGAGACGCTCGCCGAAGATCTTCTTAGTGGCCAATGACTTGATCACCGGATTTATGGTACGGATTATCGTTATGTCAGTCAATATCTCGAAGCGAATCACTCGAAGCAGTGATAACTTAGCCGTAAAAGTGAGAACCGATTTATTACGGATCAGATACTCGACTAAACCCATGAAGATGTCCACTTCGTGAACGCCAAACGTGTCGCGACTCAACACTTCTAACACCAGATCCCGGCCTAAGTATAGTTTGCCCAACGATTCAATCACTCGATCGGCGTTTGTGTCCCAATAGTGAAGACATTCCTCCCGTAAGTCAAATAAGTGACACATTTTTGACATTTCGTACAAATCGCGGATCATTTCCATCACTTCCACGGCGTTCTTGTCGTTCATTTTCGGATATCTTTGGATCACTTTTGCCGATAACATACTCTCTATGCGCCGGAACTGATACCTATTGGCCGTAATTATGGTTTCATTCATTTCCTGTAGTTTCCACTCATTTGTGTCGACTCTAAACCCGTACGACATCTTCAGTACATTAATCAGTGGCTGAAGTAATGTCTCCTCAAGTCTCATGCTATTTGTCTTGGACTCTAACCACTCGTTTGTGGCAAACATTGCCGTAAAGTAATCGCTTTCAGACATGAGAACCGATTTATTCGCTAATTGTTTGGAAACAAAAAGATAATTTAAATGTTAATTAAATTGTTTGTTTGAAAACAACCTTTGATTTGAAACTCATTTACGTCTATCAAGACATCCATTAACTTATCGGTCGATTTAAATGAGAAACAATTGCTTTCTTCGATTAAATCCATTGAAAACTTATTCATTATTTTGATTAATATTCAGAAAATATAGCTAACTTCCAGATAGTGTACAATATATCTAATATTTAATTGAGTGTCAAGAATATTCCGCTAATATAACGTTTTGAGAGTATATTCTGGTAATAATGCCAATGAACTAATAGTCCACAGAATAACGTGTATTATATAATATTTTTCAAGAATATTCCTAAGATATGATAAATAATTATGTGTACTATTATGTACATTATGTGTATGCGTACAGAATATTCTTTAAATATAGGCCATGAAACTAATGATTAATGATTGCAATCACAGAATATTCTGTTTATTGCTAAATGTCAACTAAAATAGTGTATCGCGTGTTATAGTGAGCACTATGGCTATAATCAATAAGTATCCAGTTAATTGTCAGTTAAATATAAATAAGTGTTACATTAAAAAAAACGATTTTCAATCTACACTTTAAGTGATAAACAAAAATGCAATTAATTTCGATGACATCAGTGACTGACGTTTACATCAAAAATAATTTATTAAATAAAAGGGGTCTCAAAAACAGCCACAAATTATGTCACTCACTCTGTGAGCGGAACGCGCGCCAAACCACACGCTATGCTAAGCCTTTGTGCCCTCAATACTGGCGTACGTTATGTGCGAACGGCTCTCAACTATTTTATCACAATATTTAAAGTGTTGTAAACAATGAACTGAATCCATGGCCACAGATATCACTCGTAAAACAATTAAGACACCGTTAACGCCATCATAACTGCCACCGACACACGCGTGGATAGGGGGCCGGTAGTTGAAGCGGAAGTAGCGGCGGTGGTGGTGGTGAGCGACCGGCGAAGGGAACTGGAGGTCGGAAACCATGGAGTACTCGCCGCTGACCACATGTATGGCCGACATCGGGTCCAACATCGCCGGCGACCGGCAGACAGGCGTCTCTTGTGTCACGTTTGACACGCACGAGGAGCTGCTATGGATGGCCAACATGTCCGGCCACATGACATCGTACTACTCTTACGCGTTGGACAAATACACGTCTTTCCACGTCGACCACCACTCGGACATCCGGGATGTGTTGACACCGGCCTCCGGAGTGCTGGCGCTCACCAAAGACTCGTTGAGGCTATCGAAGAGGCGCGGGCTGACGGTGTGGACGCATAGGTCGGAACTGTTGATGAGGGATATGCAGTGTATGAGTCTATTGCCGTCGGGACTGCTGCTGATGGCCGGCCATCAGGAGAAGTTGATTGAGTTGGACATCGAGAGAGTGAAACACGTGAGGGTTACCGATATACCAGATAATGGCTGTGTGGTCATGAAACAGCACCCGAGGTTTGTCTGTTTGGCTGATCCTAATGGAAAGGTATGTTATGTTTGATTGTCATTTGATTCCCATTTGATTACTACTTGTTTTGTCTGATTTTTAGTTCTTAAGGGATGTGTTTTTTGGTGATTATTAAGACAATAGACATAAGTTTTGTTAATAAAGTTATTTTTAGTACCTTTTGAAGGATTTTAAGATTAGATAAGATTTAATAAAACTTTGAGATAAATATACTTTTGTTTCGTTCAAACTCTAAATGTCTTGAGATATCAATGAGCTCTCGATTAGCACACAATTATAGGCACCGATAGTCGCCCTAAGATAACAGACACTCGCTTTCAAACCAATTAATCAATTTATTATCATTTCAATTATCATTAATCCAAGAACTTGTTGGACTTCCCACTGGACTCTCACTGACTCCATACGGAATCCAATGACTCGTACACTCCTTGCAGATCACACTCCGGGACACCGTATCCCTGCAAATGCAGCGCGAGTTCCAGTCCCACTCCATGCTGTCCTCCTTCGACGTGTGCGGCAATTACCTGATCACCTGCGGGTTCAGTGAACGCCACGGCAACTACATCGCCGACCAGTTCCTCATGCTGTACGACTTGCGACAGATGAAAGCGGTGGCGCCCATACCGATGCCCAACTTCAGCCCATATTTGGTGAAGTTTTTGCCAAAGTTTGCCGCCAAGTGCTGTGTGGTCTCGCAAACCGGTCAGTTCCAGATGCTTGACGTCACCGACTACTCGCAACGGTATATACATAGCGTGCAGTTGCCCCCCGCCGGCGCCTCCATCACCAGCTTTGATGTGAGCGCCACCGGACAGGCCCTGGCCTTCGGTGATGACCACAACTATATCTATTTGTACGGCGCGTGCGGTGAAGTGGACTTCAATATGAATAGTAAGCCCACGGAGTTTGCCGACCCCATAGAGCCGGTACGCCCGGTGCCCATCACTGACATGCATACACCCATCTCCGAGATATCTCCCTTTCCCTATTGGGCGGTCACCGAGAAGTTGTTGTCCGATATGTCGCCCGACGCCTGCCGTAAGTCCTATAGACCGACGCCACCCATCGATCCCGAGATATTGCGTACACTAAGAATGGTTGGCTCTATTGGTTACGCGCCGAACCACGGGAAGCGCCTACACGTGCCCTCAGCAATGGCCGGCGAGTCGTCCGCACATAACTCAAAACGAAGTGAGTATTGAAAAGCCATTTATAGCCCGTTTTTTTGTCAATTAAAATGACTTATCGTTTTGTATGGTTTGCCGACACACAGACAGCCCGGAGACCAATGAGATGCCGCACCGGTACTACTTCCTGGAGCCCAACTACGACAAGATGGACAAAGACGAGTACGACTTCGGCCGCTATAACCACTCGCCGTTCGCCGGACTCGACTCCACGCTTCCCAACTCGTACTCCAATAACATGATTCAGTCGCTGTACTTCATACGCCCCCTGCGCACCGGTATCATCGGACACGTGTGCAAAAAGGAGTACTGTCTGGTGTGTGAGCTGGGCTTCCTGTTCCACATGCTGGACATGGCGCCCAAACACGTGCCCTGTATGGCCAACAACTTTTTGCGCGCTTTCCGGACAATGCCTGAGGCGTCGGCGCTGAACCTCATCTTCCCGGACGACGAGGCCATCAGGAAAACCATTAACGACGCGAAACTGTCGCAGCAGTGGTTGCGGTTCATACTCAGCCAATTGGACTCCGAGGCCGCGAAAGGTCTGTGCGATGTGTTCGAGAGTCCGGAGGCGTCGTCGGGCGGCGGCGATAGGAGCGAGTCGTCGAAGGGTTCGTCGGCCGCCGCCACCACTCAGGAGACGACCACATCATTCATAAACGACTTGTTCTCGTTGTCGCTGTTGCGGTGCTATCGCTGCAAATGCGACCACAAGTGGGAACAGCCGCACAACTCGTTCCCCATTACACTGAGTTATCCGAACGACTCGGCGAAGTGTCACTCATTCGTGGATCTGTTGAGACACAGCGTACTCACCGAACAGACGATACAGACCTACTGCGAGAAGTGCGCCAAATATCAGCACGTCGTCGAGAAACGGGTGGCGAAAGCCATTCCCCACATACTGGCCATCAATACGGGTCTCGACAGCGAACAGGCCGTCCGCTTTTGGCGCAATCAGATCGACAGTATGGCGGCGAATGGCGGCGCCGACAGCCAGAAGGCGGCGCAGACGTGTCTGCAGGAGATGTCGACGCCGAAGAAGGCCTGTCGCTATGGAAACAACTGTAACCGAAGTGACTGCAAGTTCTCGCACGAGAAGAACCGCGAGTCCTCGTCAATGAAAGACATTCACTCATGGATTCCGTTGTCGTTCAGCGTTACCGCCGATGAAGGCGACGGCAAAATAGACTTCAACACCACAGCGACTGATGATAACGGATCCGTTGAGTACGAGCTGATGTCCGTCACGTCTGTAGTCAAGAAGAATGACTCACACGTGGGAAACATTGTGAGCGCTATACGGGTGGACAGGGAGTACTTCGACAGGAGGCCGGGCGCCGACGAGTACCTTAACGATTGGTTTCTATTCAATCACTACTCGATTAATCCGATTACCGTCGAGGAAGTGGTGTCCAACGATCTCCAATGGAAAGTGCCGTCAGTGTTGATATACGTCCGCAAAGACTTGAATGAATTGCACCGAAACCTGCTGTCCATGAAGACGGCTGTGAATAGCGACGTATTCGGCGAAGACATAGGGCTGGCGACCAAAGCCCGGCGCGGATCCATTTCCTTCACGCCCCTCACCGGCGATGAAATGCCCAAATCGGGCGATTTGGTGGCCATGGATGCGGAGTTCGTGACACTGAACCAGGAGGAGACGGAACTGCGTCCGGACGGCACGCGCACGACGATCAGGCCCTCCCACAAGTCGGTGGCGCGCATATCGTGCGTGAGAGGGTCGGGCGCTCTGGAGGGACAGCCCTTCATCGACGACTACATCTCCACTCAGGACCAGGTGGCCGACTATATGACAAAGTTCTCGGGCATACAGCCCGGGGATCTCGAGGCGGGCGTGTCGTCCAAGCGCTTGACAACACTGAAGTCGACGTACCTGAAGCTCCGGTTCCTCGTGGACACGGGCGTCATATTCGTCGGCCACGGCCTCCGCAATGACTTTCGGGTCATTAATCTGGTTGTCCCGCAGGAGCAAGTGATCGATACTGTGCTGCTGTTCCAGTCGCCCAACTATAAGCGTATGGTAAGCCTCCGGTTCCTCGCCTGGCATTTCCTCGACATACAGATCCAGTCGGAGACACACGACTCGGTAGAGGACGCGAAGACGGCGCTCCTCTTGTATAAGAAGTACTCGGAGTTAAAGGCATTGAATTGCGTGGACGAGGCCATCGATAATCTGTATGACGTCGGCAGGAACTCCTGCTGGAGGGTCCCCGGCAGTGACGACGAGACCTAACGGTGCCGTTTAGGAGGCGCCCCCCCGGAGTCCCGGATCTCTCTATTATGGGTTTTTTTGTGGAAATTATTTTTTAAGTATTTATTTTAATGGATATAAACATTGATATCAAAATCAAGCGATGATTGTATTTCTTGCGGGGAATTGTTTTTTACAAATTTTATTGACACAGCGTTGAGAATAACCTTTCAAATCAATTGTGAGAATTATTTTTTGATCTAATAATTAGTATTTATTTTTTTTATTTAATATAACAAAAGATACAAATTTTTTTGTCGTCGCCTAAAAAGTATATCTCGAAGTCATCGCCGTATTGAACGTCCATTGTATGAAAAAATGCATTTCATTTTGTTTATAATAAAATATTTTTCAAACGTACATTTCGCTGCTATTTTTGGTACATTTTTACTAAAAGGGATCCCACTATAGAAAAAAGTTTTCGAGGTTTATTTTTGATATTTTATGTAAAATTTTATTTTGAACAAAAAAATGAGGTTCAAAACAAATTAGGAGTTTTCGACATTTATAGTTGAATGTGTTTTGGCATCATTTTATGAGAAGTATTAAATTTAAAACAAAGAATAGTTTAACATACTATCTCTCTATGCAAACCTAACCTAACATACTGTCTATGCAAAATGGTAGGCCTTTAGGATATAATTATCAATTTGAGCACTAATTTTATAAATTAATTTAATGAAAGGAAAGATATTTCAATTAAATAAAATAAATAAATTTGGATTTTACTGATTTATTTGGATTTTTTTAACTTAATAAACACGTATACAAAATTCTTACATACTGTACCTCCCAGGTCTTCAAAAAGAAAGTTACCAGAGAATCCCGATAGAGATACTGGATCATTTTTCATTTTCTTTCCAGTGATGGGCTGATTGTCTCTCTACGACATATACTTTTTGCGATACAGATTATCTACCTGTGTTTTTAACTAGTACTCACATTCGGGAGAAGATGTCAGACTAAAAACCGTTGAAGGTTAAATATAAATTTGATAACTTAAGTGGTTTAGCAATAACCCGCAATTTAGTAGTTAAATCTGAATGACAAAACATTTTTCCATGTCTGATACTTTGTATACTTTTAATTATAATACTGTACTTTCAATATTTGGATATTAATATCATTTAAAATATGTTTTCACATTAGGTGTTGCCGGTTTATTTTAAAATTAAAATTTTGAAATTAATTATAATGTTAATCATCAATGAATTTATTAGCTAAATTGAAATTATATGAATTCTGTATTAAATAAAGTTAATTTAATATTACCAGCATAATTTTATTTCTATATTTAAACAATCAATTATGAAACAGTCAATATTTAACCACAATATTTATTTAACTTAAATAATTAGATAGCAGTACATTGGGGGTGTGGGTGGTAACAGTAATTAAGCCCGAACCTGGAAAAAGTTACCGGCAAACGGTTTACCTAGCTTATTCTGTGTGGCAAACTGGTTGACATCAAATTTCTCCAGATTAGTGTCGTCCGGATCAAGGGTTAAGCGTTCGGTCTGATTGTAGGCCAGTATGACATACCGGTGCAAACCGGACCCTTTAGTCGGATTCGGGGGCTTATAAGTGGTTAATGTGAACCCATTGTTGGCGTTATAGTCGGGTGCGTTCACCACAACCC